TAAATATACATGCTGCTCTTATATCCCATTCCCATTTTACATCTAAATCATGAATGAAATCATCATTACCACTAGCACCCCCCTCATCACACTCCACCCACTCATCCTCAGCCCCTCACTCGGCTTCACCTCTCCTGCATCATCTTCCTCTCCTGTCGTGCACTTCGTAGGCTTACACCGCCTCGTCGAGGTCAGTGTTATTCTTGACGTAACTGTGGACGTAGTCGTAGAGGTGCTGGTGTGTGTCGACGTCTTTGTGACCCATGTGTCTGTTGTCTGTAGAGACTGGCAGTCTGTTGCCTTTACGTCTTTAACGGTTGTTGTCGTTGTTGTTGTGGTTGTGGTTGTAGTTGTTATGTTTTTAGTTGTTGCTTCGTATGGTTTCACTTTTAGTGGCTCTAATTTCGAACATACTTTTTGTATCTTTTCGCATGGATCCTCACAATTACACTCTTTTTTGAAATCACAATCTTTCAGTGAATGATGGCACATTTCCTTTAACTCTACATACAAACTAAACGCTTGTGATACCAAATCAAAGGCATTCAGTTCTTCTTCTGTTACTTGCAGTTTTGTATTTCTTTTTACAAGTTTAAATTGTGGTGCGTCTTTTCCACTCTTAGGTGTACTAGAAGCTGCATTATCTACTGATTTATTATTCGTTGTTTTTAATGCTAAAACAAGATTCGCTTTTTCCATTGCTTCTTCTGCTTTCTTTTTAATATCCTCATATTCTTTATTTTTTTCTTCTATTTCGTTTTTAACCTTGTCAAGTTTTTTTGATAGTCCTTTACATTTTCTTTTTACTCGTTCAATTAGTTTTTCACAAAGTGTTTCTCTAGTTTGAGCGTCATTTTTCCCTTTTTCTTTGTTTTTACACAAAGTTTCAAGCCCATTGGTTGCATTATTTAATTGTGTGCAATATTGGTTAAGAGTTGTTACGCAATTGTCTTTATTATCAAGCTTTCCTTTAAACTCAAGCATAGCTTGATCTTCACGATCTCTTTGTGTACGATATGGTTCGCATTGCTTTTCAAGTTCGTCACATTTTCCATCACCAGCAGTTAAATTCTGGCAACTTGACATGAATTTTCTGCAATAGGGTTCCCAAGAATCGCATGTTTCTTCCATTGTATTTTCTTTTTTTGCTTTATTCACAACACCACTTATTTTCATACGTGCTCCCAATGTAGTACACTTAGAGTTTACGCTTTCTGTAAGAATCTTGCAAGTAGTATTCTGTGCTACACATGCGAGATCAAAGTGTGCTCTTCCTCTTCTATTCCATTCATGACATCGCTGACCGATCTTTTCTATACATGAATCCAAGTCATCTAATTTTTTCATTTTTTCTTCCAAAAATTTTTCTTCCAATTGCTCTACAACCCTTAAACGATCACAATTCTGTTTAAGTGTATGACAAGGCCATTTAATTTCTTCAGAATCCTGTACTAGATCTTTACATTTTCTCAATAATATCTTGCAATCTCGTTTCGTAGGAAGATCTCGCCTTGCATTCAAATATTCCTGTAATAGATCCACTTTAAAATGCAAATCCCCTAAAAGTATAGAAACAGCATTATCTGGCTGGACACAAAACACAAACAACTCATTGCTCTTTTTTTTCAGACCCAGACACACCTTTACTAATTCTTTTTGAAGCTTTTTAAACAATGGGTCATCTATATCATGAAACTTTCCTCGTAGCTTGTTCTGCAATTCTTGGTTTGCTAATGCATAGAGCCCTTTTTTGTAGCATGCTGCTTTAATATTTCTACATTGTTTCTCGAAAGATTGATTTTCAAAATAAAAACAGTCTGATTCTAATTCTGCACATTCATCTTCAGTAAGAAAGTTCGGCAATTCGTTCCATAATTTAATTTCATTTCCAAAATTTTTAAACTTTGCAGTCAAAGCGGCCTCTATTCCTTTAAATTCCTTTTCAAACTCTTTACATTTATCTGTATGATTGTTTTTATTTTCACATAAATCTTTTAATTCTTTTGCTAAATAGCTAAAGGAGCTACATTTATTATTGAGTACACTCTGGCATTGAGCGTTGTTAAAACCTGTTTTTGCAGACAGAAACACTAATAAATCAACAACATCTCTTTCTGGTGGTTTTCCGATTAGAATTCCCTGTGTCGCTGCTTCTTTGTAAAGCTCTTCCAAACCTATTTTTTCTGCCAGTGTAGCCTCTGGTCTTGTAGGATCAAATTTTGAGCCAGGTGGTGTATAAACAATTTCCTTTTTTTTGCATTTTTCTTGCAAATCATTACATTTTAATTCATCTTTACAATTTTTTCCATAAAAATAACATTTTTCAAGTAAAGAATGCCCTCTTTTTTCTAAGTCACCACTAGGTTCTAGTACATTCTTTATCTCTGTTTTCAGAGAGTTACATTTTTCTTCTGCTGCTTGTACTAGTGATAGACATGTAGACTCTAGATTTAAACACCTTTGCATTAACTCGTTACTTTCTTGACCCAATGTACGACAAACATCTTTAATCTCCTTTTTGCACTTATCTTTATCTTCAAGATTTCCTTTAAGTGCCCTTAAAAGAGCTTCTTCAGCCACTTTATCACGCTTTTTTTCATAACATTTATTTCTTAAAGTGTTACAATCATCTTTAAGATCATTAGAGAATGCTCCCTCCAAAAAGAGACATTTCTGTTCATTTAAACAATCACTGCTTTCCAATTTTGACACTTCTTTTTCGGCAGCTTTTTTTAATTTTGGTTTGAATGCATCGCGCTTGCTTTCAATGTTAGATTTTAGTTCTTGGCATTTTTTTTGAATTTTTCCTTTTTCACACAAATCTTTAAGCTTTTTATGTATTTCTTCTTTATTTATATTCAAATTTTCAAATTCTTTACAGTATTCTTCCAGCTTAGTTTTGCATTTTGCATCTTCTAATCCATCCTTTTTTAAAATCAAAGCAAAAAGAAATCCCTCATCATCATATACATTTGCTCCTGCTCCTTGCTGTGCCTGCCGCTTAACCGCCCGCGCCACCGCCCGCGCCAAGCTGTGCCTGACGGGGGTGGGCTAAGCTGTGGTGTGTGGCTGAGTTTGAGTTTCCATTAACGTGTTTCGGTTGCATGTTAGGTGTTAAAGCCATGTCTTTAAATTTGAATTATTCTTAATTTTAAGGGTGTTCAAGTAA